TCTAAGCAACCGACCACAGCAGCAACGTTCGCATCGCTTCGACGAGCGGAACCAAACAATGATCCAGCTGTGACAGCAGTGGCTAGTCGTGTCGTCGACCTCGCATCGGAAGTAACTCAGTTACTTGAGCCAGCATATCTGGCCCTGGCCGATCACTTATTCGGTGAGCTTCCACCGCATAGCCCAGATTGCCCATGATCACGCCGACTGACAGATTCTCCCAGGCTATCAAAACACGCAAAGCCTAGCAGCCGCGGTGAAGTTACAAATTCCTGACTGTTTGGCATCGGGTGCACAAACCATTGAGCAATTGGCTCAATCGAGTGGCGCTAGATCCGACCGGCTGCGTCAAATTTTACGCTTGTTGTACAATAATGGCATTTTCTCCTTCGACCCAGAGACCGACTCTGTCCAGAACAATGAGGCTTCGGAATTGTTGGTGCGTGACCATTGGACACAGTGGCACCGCTGGGCGAGTGTATGTAGCCAGGAATTCTATCAAATGGCTCAGGGCCTTCCTCACGCTGTGGATGCAGGTGTAACCCGTATGTTTGTCCTTCGAATATGATCGTAATACGGTATATATATTAACCCGAAGTTGTCAGGCTCCCCCGCACAGGTTCACTATGATACCGACGAAAGTATGTTCAGCTATCTGGAGCGCAATGGTACCATGGTACGGCTGCGAGGGTGTATGGGAGGTGCAGCAGTCGCTCAGACACCCGGGATGATCTCCGGTTATCCATGGGCTGAACTTGCCGGTCACACCTTGTTTGATCTGGGGGGTGGAGATGGCTCGCTGATGGCAGGGCTCCTGCGCGCCTTTCCGACGCTCCAGGGTGGAATCATGGATACACCTCGGGTTCTTCCGGTGCTGCAAGAAGCATTTCACGAATCTTCCGGCAGGTACGCTGATGTCGCCTTGCGTATCCCCTCGGGACGGCTCATTGCGGGTGACTTTCTGCAAGAGGTGGTCCCATCGGAAGCATATGTGATGCGCTGGTGTTTGCATGATTGGACCGATGAGCAAGCATGTCAGATCTTACGGAACATCCGCCGGAGCATCATCTCCAGCCCCGTCAGTCGTCTACTGGTGCTTGAGTCCGTGCTGGCCGACGGCCGATGGGGACGAATGTCTCGGCTGGGGGACATTAATGTCATGGTAACTGCGGAACATGGCCAGGAACGCACTGAGGCGCAATGGAGACACCTGGCAGCCTCTACGGGCTGGAAGGTAGTTAGTATCTCTCAGCTCCCGGGGGCCTGGCCTTCAGCTATCGATATGCGGCCGGTAGATGGATGGGAAGAATGTAAATAAATGATCGTCATGTGCTATTGTTGACCTAGAACACTACAATATAAGTCCTACAACACCCTTGAACTGTATACCAGTCACTAGACCTTGTATCTACCTGACATAGCGCAGAAACATTGTCATGTGTTTCTTTAATACAGTAGACGGTGATTAAAATATATGTACATATACATCCACTCACTCATTGAATTCACTGGAATACCTTCCACATAGATCGTGATCGGGAATGGATTGCAATAATCAAGAACGCTATATGTAGTATGGTACTAACATTCAGTATGTACAAATGACCTAATTACTACCTAATGATGACGGTATGATGTGGACTCCCCCGAATCAGCACTTCTAAAGATAGCATCGACCATGCGGTACCGAACAACGGCTTCATCCAAGGTGACAATCCGATCACGGTCATCATCCAACCACGCTTGATATTCTGCCCCGGGCACAACGGTATTAGCCAGGTTGATCTCCTCCCAGCTGACAGTCTCCGATCCCGAGGATGTCATCAATAACTTCGGTGGAATGGCGTGGATTATCAAACTGGGTCCCTCCATCTTTAACGACGCCTTCTCGCCGGTGATGACCCACTGGAATAGATTCGGAGTAGTCGGGGGATGCGAATACATGCACACCGAGACGGGAACCTCGGAATTGCCGATCCGTCCATGTAGAGTGAACGTGTCCGGGGAATCATTGAACTGTCCGGTCTTGAGTTTCCCTGTGGTATCGCACAAGACGGGCTTTGGGAACAACATGCTGGTGTGTGCGTGGAGTGTGGTGAACTCGCCGAGGAGGAAGGCCATGGCGTCAAGGAGATGTCCGCCGGCAATTGTGACAATGTTGGCTCCTATAGTTACAGACGTTAATCCTTTTTCCCATCTGTGTCATTGAATGTCACAGCATTTACCGTTCTTCCTATCATGAGAGTGTCTTTTGTCGGCATGGAATTTGAGAAACAGGTCATCTGTCACGAGCAGATTTGTGGCGAGGATGCGCCCAAGGGCTCCGGACTGAACAATCTCTTTCATCTAGAGTAAAAGGATTGTGAATATCTTTCATCCAGCCATTATAAAATAGAGCATACCTTCAACACTTGCGGTGCGAGCCTTGTCGGCAATCCGACCATGCTCTTCACCTGCTGTTCGCGGGCGCGCTGAGCCAACGCTTCGGCCTCGGCCAGATTCGAGGCAAATGGCCATTCGACATAGACATCCTTACCGGCCTCGATGGCGGCCATGGCCAGCTCTGCGCGACGGGGAACCTTGACCGAGACGACGACCAGGTCTACGTCGGAGTCCTTGGCAAGTGATTCCACAGTATGGTATGCTCTCTCCTTTGGCAGATCGTGCGCAAGAGCTGCCGCCTCAGCCTTCTCTGCTGACGACATAGACACTGCTGCAATCTCATATTTCTCTTTCAAAGGTGTAGTCGTCAAAGGGAGTTTGTGGATGTAGTTGGTGCAATGGCTGGGGTCAGCCGATAGACCGACAATTCCTAGACGAATACGGTTCGACATTATCACTCGCTCTGTCATAGTTTCTAGAATCAATTGTAGGTAATCAAATGCTCATAATGCTGTGACTTTACGCGGTTTATGGGATGCGAGTCGTTAAATGCGTTCTGGACACCGAAGATCGTCGGTCACCGGGAGGCATTTGAATAGGGCCCCCACTCAGCCCTAGGAACTTTTTCCCGCCATCTTGCCTGGCTTTTCACCTCGTGGAGAGATCAACATTCTTGTCAGAGAGCTGTGTCGATTTCAACAATGGCCACTTCAATAAGGTACGGCACTATGTTGGAGCACTTTCATGACGCAGTGAAGCTGTCTCCTGGCAGCCAAACAGCAGTGTCAGTATGGATCAACGACGATATTCGCCCCCTGCCACCCAGCCGACGTACCTGGTCGACGATGACGTTCATCGGATGGTGGTCAGTCTGGCAGCTCAGTCTAACCAACTGGCAATTGGGCGGATCGCTCGTGGCATCGTCGTTGTCGGTGTGGCAGACTATGGTAGCAGTGATTCTGGGTAGGACGATCGCAGCTATTGTTGCGGTCCTAATCGGATATATTGGTGCCGAGTGGCACATCGGCTTCCCAGTATATTCACGAGCAATCTGGGGTGTGTTTGTAAGTGGAGAAATCCGGTTGTGTCAATCTCTGTCAAACCAGTCTGACACGGGTTGGTCTAGGGTGCCTTTTTCCCAACCCTACTGCGTATCGGCCTCACCGTGGTTGGATTCGCCTTTCAGTCATACACCGGGGGCCTTTGCGTCACAGCAATCCTCTCAGGGATCTTTCCGACTTTCTTCCGAATGTCCAATACTCTGCCCGCATCTGCGCATGTCACAACACAGCAGATCACTGGGTGGGCCATCTTTAACATCATCTCCATTCCAGTGCTGTATCGCCGGCCTGAGCGAAGCGAAAAATTGATGATTGGCATGAACGTCCTCTCTTTTGCAGCTTTACTAGGCATTATGATCTGGTCATTGTCTCACGCCCACGGCGCAGGAGACTTAATCCATCAGCCGTCGCAGCTCCAGACCAGTGAGTCGCTGGGCTTTGGGATTATGCAAGGGATTACTACTGTGGTGGGGACGCTTTCCATCGCCCTGAGTACGTCTCCTTTTCTATAAATTCATTCTGAAACCCCTTCTGACATCATTCAAGCAAGTCAAATGGACTTTTCTCGATTTGCTCGAAAGCCCAGTGACCAGGTTTTCGGCCAATGGTTCACCTTCATCATCATTGGCTCCATTATGCCCTTGTTTGGATGCTTGACCAGTTCCGCAACGCAGGCTATCTATGGTGAAGCGCTCTGGAATCCGCCCACCATTCTCGCCATGTGGCTGCAGAGAGACTACAGCTCTACCTCGCGCGCGGCTGCAGTGTTTGCCGGTATCGGACTGGTGAGCTCACAACTGGCATTGAACGTGGTGGATAACGGTAAGCAATCTTTCGACGGATTGATGAAAGAGCTATGTTAACCCTCGCACAGGGTACTCGGTGGGCATGGATCTGTCCGGACTTCTCCCCAAGTACATCAACATTCGACGCGGATGTTACGTTGGACTCGTCCTCGGAATGGCCCTTTGTCCATGGGAACTGCTAGCCTCGGCCACCACTTTCGTGAGTGTGATCTCGTCGTTCTCCATCTTCATGGCCCCGTTTTGTGGTATCCACATCAGCGACTACTGGTTGATCCGGCAAAGACGCCTGAAACTGTCTGATTTGTATCACGCCCGACCGGAAGGAATATATTTCTACACGATGGGCTTCAATTGGCGCAGCGTGCTTCCATGGCTTATCGGATGGGTTCCTCTCCTTCCTGGTTTCATGCACAGTATCAATCCCGCTATTACAGTCTCTGTAGGGGCCGACCATCTTTATGCGCTGGGGTTCCCCTATGGACTTCTCTCTTCAATGGCGGTCCATACTCTCATCAACAAGTGCTTCCCACCACGTGGACTGGGGGAGATTGACCGGGACGATACCTACGGAACGTTCACAGAGGAAGAGGCTACAAATCTAGGGGTTAACACCGAGTCGACGGAGAGAAACAGCGACCGGTCGCTCAGCCTGGACAATCAAGCGATTGTGGAGACCAAGGTTTAGTTAGATAGAGTGCTATTCCATGCAAAAATCCCAGTGATAGAAAATAAAAATAAAAATAAAAATACAGGCCCGAACCCGGGATCGAACCGGGGACCTCGCGCAGATATGCTTGGGTAGACCCTAAGCGCGAATCATACCACTAGACCATCCGGGCTGTTGATATCTATTTGTTCTACAATGGCGTATGTAAGGGGCCTACCTTCGAGACATCAATGAAGTAGGTTCTAACAATATATCGGATCCCGTACATGCTGACTAGGACATGATTCCACCCGACTCAAAAATATACTACCGTAGTAATGTCCTCGGATTTGTGCACAATCGAGACACACAGAAACAATCACTGCCATTGATAAGTAGTGTTTTTTGAAGTTACTGTACTATTGATGGCAAATTTGAGCCGAGTGGAAATATATTCCAACAGCACGGGTAGTAGCACTTTCTTAATCGTGGCAACACCTCTGGAGCCAACACCATGAGCCTTCTGAGTGTCTTTTGTTTCTGCCTCCACTGACAATTGACCTAGCCAACCGGGAAAGGCTAGTAAACACTAAACCTCGATGTCACAGCCACGGAAGTTGTTGCTGAACCCTAATGTCCCGGCCACGGCAATCCTTCCGGGCCCTCACCCAGGAGAGGAACCGGTGGTAGACCTATATTCGGCTGCCGAACCGCACAGCCTTTCTCTATCGGGCTAACCGAAGGGTGGCTACGGGGTGACGCTTACTATATCCGATTCATTGAATGCTACTACTTGATATATATGCCGACGGGTGGTAGCCCTCAACACTTATCCAGCATTCTCTCATGCCGACCACGAGCGACAATGACTTCTTCACATTCTCTTGTACAACAGCTAGCTGCTGCTTTAGAGGTTGACTCGACAGAGCTAGACCTGAATTCTGGCTTTGTGCAAAATGGTGGCAATTCGCTCAGTGCCGTGGACTTTGTCTCCCGCTGCAAAAAGCTAGGAGTTTCACTGCCAATGGCCTCTATCCTATCCTCCACAAACCTACATGTACTATTCACTGACCTGTTACCTTCCAAATCGAATCCTATCACCATCGCAGATCCTTCCGATGACAGTGACAATCTTTCAAATCCCTCGTCTTCAACTGGAGGCTCACCGCGAGCAACCACGCCAATCTCCAGCAATGTATCCACTTCCGCCGAGGACGACTACCTCACACAAGGAAGTGCCCTCACCAAACATGCTACCGATCGCTTGAGTGAAATGCAAGCGTCCCTCCTACACGGCTCCCTCAAAAGCCCAGGAACGAATATCATATATCACTACGAGACCTACCGAACCGACGTGATCCCGGTCCTCAAAGAGGCATGGAAGACAGTCATCCAAGGCGAGCCAATATTCCAAGGCTCTCTCCTAGATGGGTCTGCCGACAACCAAAAATACTTCACCTGGTCGGAGGTAACCGTGGACTCGGAGCCTGAATATCGCAAAGAGATACAGGCACTCTGGCTCAAATCCGTCTCATCGTCTTTCAGAGTAGTCCACTGGAAGCGATCACCTCCTGCGACTAGTCAAAGCACCCTGATCTGGGCTGTTCATCATGCGCTAGTCGATGGGTATTCCGCTATGCTGCTCTTTTGCAAAGTCCGTCGTGCCATTACGGGCTTACCGATTGTGCCTGGCCCGTCGTTTTCGGATGTCGAGGAGAGTATTCGCAGGTGGCGTCAGGAACACAAGAGTGAAGGTGATGGTTATTGGGCTGGTCAGGCAACTCAGCTTGAAAAAGCCCAAGGGGAGCTTCTCCTCCCCACCCCACGGCTTGAGGGTACTTCCGGAGTCACTGAAAGTGAAGAAGTCTACGTAACACCCAGTGTCTCCACTGCACAACTGCACTGCGTGGCCAAGCGGTTGGGGGTGACCCTGTCCACCTTTTACTACGCGGCATGGTCGTTGGTGCTCAGTCTCTATACAGATTCATCCTCGGTGGTTTTTGGCGCCGTCTTAGCTGGTCGGAATCTTCCCTTGGAGGGAGTCGATGAAGTGGTTGGACCACTGGTTAACACGCTTCCTCTCTGCCTCACCCTGGATCGCCAGCAGTCGGCACAAGACTTTCTCAAGGCTTTGTTCTCTCGGATGGTTGAGCTGGCAGAGTACCAATGGACGACACCGGACAATGGCTACATAAGGAACTTTTCCTCTGCCATGGCCATGCAAGTCCCAGGGCCTGAATGTAGAGACGGCGTGTCCCCATTGGAGCCTCCATACACACGCCAAACCACTGATGTTCCACTCAGTATCAATATCCTAGCTGATGGCGCAGCCCGTTTCGTCTATCACACCAGTCAATACAGTCGGATGGATATCGTTCGTGTCGGGGAATACTTCCAACGGGCATTGCAGCTCCTCCTTCGCCCACACCGACCGATGGATGAGTGTCTTCAGGGGCTCCTGGGATGTGTTGATCTCCAAACCTTGATGGGCTTCGGCAACTGTGGCTCCGCCCTGACCACCACCGTCGCCATTAAAGATGATCTAGCCACGCTCTTCGAGTCTGCGGCATCGCATAACCCGATGGATGTGGCCGTTCAGAAGGGCGACTGCACCCTTACCTACCAGGAGCTGGACACTTATGCCGGTCGTGTTGCGGCCACTCTGAAGGGCTATATCCGAGATGGCGAGGTCGTCTGCCTCCATGCCGACCGGTCGGTGAATTGGATAGTCGGCATCATGGGCATCTTGAAGGCAGGAGGTGTCTACTGTGCTGTCGACAAGGCCTTGCCGCAAGAGGCCCGTGAGACCATCTTCTCAGCCTCTGGATCCCACCTATTCTTAGTCCCCTCGCTGTCCGACCAATCTGTTTGTCCGACTAGTTGCGATCGTCTTCTGGCCGTGGAAGACCTCGTGAAGAATGAGGATGCCCTGGTTGCTCAACGTGATTCGCCCCGTCCACACACCGACGCCTACCTATGCTTTACATCGGGATCGACGGGTAAGCCCAAGGGTGTGATGTGTCTCCACCAGGGATTAGTTGCCTTCCAGCGCGACCTTGAAGTGCGGCTATTCGCGCAGCCCGGCCGTCGAGTTGCTCAAATCATGTCCGTGGCCTTTGACGGCAGCATTCACGAGATTTTCTCGGCGCTCAGCTATGGCGCAACCTTGGTGCTCCAGGCCGGCGATGAACCGTTCGCACACCTGAGCGACGTCGATTCGGCGATTCTCACTCCATCCATGGCCCGAGTCCTTAACCCGGCGGACTTTGAGCGGCTCAGTACAGTGAGTACCGATCGCTACCCTGTTTGTATAGTCCCATCACTGACACTCAGTTATCTTAGGTCTATCTGGTCGGTGAGCCAGTCACACAGGATGTCTGCGACCGGTGGTCCGAACAGAAGACCCTCTACAATATGTACGGGCCTACAGAAGGGACCTGCGGCGCGACCATCAAACAACTCCATCAGAACCAGCGGGTGACCATTGGACCTCCGAACCCTTCCACCCGCATTTATATCATGAACCAACACCAAGAGCTTGTCCCACCGGGAGTTATTGGTGAGATCTACATTGCCGGGGTCCAGGTGGCGCGCCATTACATTGGCATGCCCGAGCAAACCGCGCAACGCTTTATGGGGGATCCGATCCGTCGTATCGGCGAGCGCATGTATAAGACCGGGGATCGAGGGTACTGGTCGGAGGATGGGGAGGTCGTCTGTTTGGGACGAACAGATCGTCAGATCAAGCTGCGTGGCTTCCGTCTCGACTTGGACGACTTGGAGACGCGCATGATCCGGGCCTTCCCAGCCATCACTGCGGTCGCGCTCACTCGGCAGGGCAACCATCTCATCGCGGCCGTTCTTCCTGCTGCCACTGATGTGGATGCATTTACTGCACGGGTGGCCCAGGTTTTGCCCCCATATGCCACACCCCGCAAGGTCTTGGCCCTGGATGAATTTCCCATCACCAAGGCCGGCAAGCGAGACTACCAGGCGATTGCGAAGCTCAGCGCGCAAGCACCTGCATCAGCCGGTCGACCGTTGACCACTCCGATGGAGCAGCTTGTTGGCGACGCCTTTCGTGATATCCTTCAACTGGGCAAAGAGGTCGCATTGCACACGCATTCGAGCTTCCGGGAGCTCGGTGGTCATTCACTTCTCCAGTTATTGTTGGCCACGCGCATCAGTCAAGGGGTCAACCGCCAGGTTCCTCTCTACGTAGTCGCTCAGCATGATCGCATCGACCACCTCGCCGCTGCCATTGACAGCGGACCAGGACTGCAACAGCTGGCGACACCCGATCCAATGGGACTGGGCGAGTCAGCCATCGCTCCCATTGAGAGAGAGTGGTGGCATAAGTATCAGGTCAACGAGAGCACCTCCAGCTTCAACGTCAATTTCATGGCCAGGATTGATGATAGTGTGATCGATCGCACGCGACTAATCCACGCGTGCAATGAAGTGATGGCCCGGCATCGTGTCCTACGCTCTCGGTACATTTTCAGTCGGGGCGCAGGTCGTGTGGTGCGTCAGTACAGCCCGTTGGCACCTCGTGTGCAGGCAGTCAAGACGGTGAACCCGTGGGTAGAGGTGAACCGACCCTTCTCTCTGTCCCGGTCTGCGCCTATTCGCGCTGTTGTGTCAGATTCCTACTTCATCCTCACCATCAGCCACATCGTGGCCGACTTGACCACCTTGCAAATCCTTTTGCGTGAGATTTCCTCGCATTACCAGGGAGGCAACCTCTCCAGCGTTCCGCACACGTACATGAACAGTACGCTCTGGCATGAGAAGCCCACATCCTGCGATCTCGACTTCTGGTCCGATTCTCTGGGGCAACTCCCCGATACCACGCATCTCCTAGGGCATGGCGGTTACCGACGCAGTTATCGTGGCCGGTCCGCCCTCTGTGAGATCCCCCAGAACATCTACCAAAGCATGCGGCACTTCCTTCGCCAGTCCTCCGTCACTGCTCAGCAATTGTCACTTGCCGCGATCGCGCTCTGTCTCGACGATCCCTCTGTGCTGCTGCCGACCGAGACCGACATCGTCCTAGGAATTCCCTACATCAACCGCAAATCCCAAGAGGACATGGACGTAGTCGGTCTATTCCTTGAGCCACTACCGGTCCGCATCAGCTTCGGCCAAGATACGAATAACAAAGACACGACATCATACCTCGACACCGTCCAA